ACATCCCAAGATACGGTCATAGCTACATCTATAATCTGGTGTATCTAGGCCCAAGTTAATCAAGTTTCTTTACCTCCCCACTTGCTTCCTGGCTCACTGAGGAGCCAGTGTATCATTTCAGAAAATTCAAATTAAGGTCTGTAACTACAAACTGAATAGAATTTCTTCCTCCCTACCATCCATTTAGCCCTACTGGCTTCTGCAGGCCTCCACAAAATTTTCCCATACCATTTTGTTAAATGTGCCAGCAGGCAGAGGTACTGCTGGTGGGGTTTCCACTGACAGTAGCCCATAGAAAGTTCCAAAATGGGAGGAGATTATCTAGCCGGGGATCATATGGATCCCAAGCCATTCCCACTGCCATGAATGGATGGCAACAATCCTGACCTGGCCTAAACACTGGCATAGAGATTTACCCCCCACTTTTCCACTCAGGCATGAGAGATGGGTCTGCTCCACTGCTCCACCATGTTACACTGCTGGTCCAGCAAGGGTTTGGCTTGCCCCACCTGGATACATTAACAAGAGGTACTGACTTACAGGAACCATTTAGTGTTGTTGTTTTGCAGTAGGGCAAATGCCAGTCTAGATTAGTAGGAAGGCATGTCCCTTTAAGTTCCACCTCTGCCATTTCCCCAAGCATGGAGATGAACTGATGAGAAAGGGAGTGCCTCCATATCTTCTCATAGAGCCAGTAAGCCTCATAGGAGCAAGGCTAACAAGACTTTGAGAGCCCCTTGGTATATTGCACTGCGTGACTTTCCAAAGCTGCGTCTTCAACAACAGCTTGCTCTCCAGACATTAGCAGGAGGTGATGTTTATTGCCATGCCGTGAAAAGCTTTACATGCTGACTTCTGGAGAGCAGCCTGCTAGTAAAGGCACAAGAGTAGGCTGGTTTTGATCTGGTCACTTTGGCAGCGCTGCCTGCACGTTCATTGACGTGAAAGTTTTGGCAGAATTTCTTGTCAAAGACAAAAACACATGCCTACGCAGGCGCGCACAAGTGCTAAAAGAGCAATTATAGGGAGGCAAGTTCATCACAAACACATGCAAATACACATTCTCGCACAATAACATCAATGGAAACCCCAACGTGCACTTTCCCATAGTGCAAATTCAAATATTAAATAGCAGCAGCAGCAGCAAACAAGAACAATGAAATAAAAAGAAGTGCTTGGCTCGAGGGGTGACCAGATATTCCATAAAAGACCTTCATTTCAGCGCTACACAAACAGCTCCGTAAAATAAACTCTGCAGTTCTTCAATGGTCTTTTGTTTTGAAACGTTGCTCTGGCAGCCCTCCTGACATGGCTCCAAAGCTGTGGTAGGTTTATGAAGTAGGATGGAAAAGGGTTGAGAGGGACGTGTGTTCCAATATCGTTTTACGCACACTGAGCCAGGTTTCTCCCCCACCCACACTTTCTTTTTAAAAGTCTACTGGACTCAGGGCTGCTCATTAAGGATGGGCCTAATTAAGCTGCCCTGTGCGCTTCACAGGACTTCCAGACCACTGCAGTTTGGCAATAACAGAAAACCTGTTATTTTACAACTCTGGAGCGGGGACAGCTTTGTGGTGTGCTTCCCGGAAGGGAGCAAATGATAAGAAACCTGGAGAAAATGGGACGGAGAGAACACTTTCCTTTTTAATTTGGCCCTTTCCAAAGTTTCTCTTACACCCCCACCCCTCAGCCTCAACACACACACACACACAGAGAGAAAGAGAGAGAGAGAGAGAGAGAGAGAGAGAGAGAGAGAGTACTGATGAAAGGGCAGTGAAATTGTTTTCTCTGAGATTTTCAAAGGTTTCATTTCTTTTAAATAAATTAAGAGCCAGAAGCTTTCAGCACCAAACATGGATCTTGCAAAGCTCATGTTCTCCCTCGCAAAAAGGAAAAGCAATGGTTGTTAACAGATCGAGTTATGTTATGCATTTTGTCATTTACACCACCTGCTCTTGAAGAAATATTCTGTTGGCAAGAAGGCCCCTTTAACCAGATTGTTAAACAGGCTGTGCGTTGTCTTGTAGGAAGGTGTTCCAAGTTTAATTTGATTAAACCAAAGCAAGACGGTTATAAATAATACCGGGAAGTAAAGCAAACAGAAACAAAAAGCATCTAGTTGTTGGTGGTGAGGAAATTTTTGGCATTGCAAGTTTGTGCTTGGGGGAGGGGAATAATTCCATTTGCTGTTACTTTTAAAGAGGTAGAAAGGGGCAAACTGACAGACACTTTGAAGAAGGAGAAAGAAGCTGAAAGACACGAATAAAAGCTTATCATATCATATATGCCTGTGTGGAATCTTGCCCACAGCTAGCTAGTTTGCAAGAACAGCACAGTCTAAACATGCACATAATAATAAATTGGTGGTGCCCAGCCTCTTTTGGCAAGTGTGCTGCAAATCAACTCTAAAATATGACACAGGGCAACTATTGTGCTCCCTGCAGTACATTCGCAGCTCCCTTTCCGTTGGGTGTGGTTTTGCCTCTAGTCTGCCTTGTCTACACACGCAGTGGGGATGAGGTAGTGAAGCGTGCGGAGGTGATAAGTGGACTGTACCCTTTCAGATAGCAGTGTGAAGGGTCAGTTTTTTAATGCACTTGTGAATTAAAATCTCCATGCAGTCAGAAAGCTAGCACAACATGTAATATTCTACACTGGAACCACTCTCCCTGATGTTAGCTCTCCATTTGTAATGAGGTTTGTTCTGTTTTGTTTTTTAATGTGGAGGAAGCACTGCCTGTTCTCTCCCTGTTCTCTTGCCTGAAAAGGCTTGGGCCACAGTATGTTTTTACTGTGATTTGCCCAAAACCACCCTGTGAGCTTCGTAGGCAAGAGTTTTGAATGCTGATTTTTCACTTCCAAAATCAGCACTGTACATTTATTCTGGCCGAATGCTGCATAAAATGAGAAGGGAGCTTAGCTGATTTTCAGGGACAGAATGGTCTCTTTGACATTGCTGGATTAAGCAGCAGGCTCAAGCCACAATCCTACACATTTACCTGGCAGTAAGTCATAATGAACTTAAGGGGTCCAGCCTCTGAGTAGATATGTATACGATTGCACTTCCAGTCTCTGGTCCTGTCCACTGGAAATGACTATGTGCTGGATAGGATAGTCTAAACAACCACTAGGTGCTAACCACTACCTTGTACCAGTGGAAGCAAAGGGTCTTGTTTCTATAGACTCAGTGGTACCTGAGCATGAGGCATGGAAACCCAGGGTGGTATCCAACCAAAGAGTTCCAATAGCACAAGGAGTTTTAGCTGTGCAAAATAACTTCCTCAGTCTCTCCTCTCTCTATGAACCTGCTGTGCTCCCTATAAATCTGCTTTGAAGGATTGCAGGGAAATCCGGAACAATATAGGGGGTGCTAGATGATGCATAGGGAGAAGGGAAGTTCCACTGTACAGTTAAAACTCTTTGCACTAGTTGGACATCACCAAACTGGCACTTTATCTACACCAGAAATATTTGGATGATCTTATTTTGATACTGAGATGGGTACCTGTGGCCCTCCACATGCTATTAGACTCTATCTTCCATCAGCCATGACCAGCATGGTCAGAGATAATGGGAGTTGTCAGTGGAGGTGGGGCTACTGGGGCTCTGCTCTCCTGCTGAAATGCCAAGCAAGTTTAAAAAATCTTTCTCCTTCAGATCTCAAAACCACACTCTTTCCCGCCCCCGCCCCCACATTTTATACTTCCTTGAACTTACAGAGGCATTTCTGTCAATCTCCTGTACTCTGGCTAGTCAGATTTCTACACCATTCAGCCAATCCTAATCCCTGTGTCTCCTAAACTGAAAAACCATGCGACTGATTGGACTG